AGCTTTGTAATAAATTACTTCAGTTGTTCTTGTGCAAATACTTTGCATACTCTGAACCAACAGAAGCACTCAAATGTCATGAAATAAAGAAAAGATTAGAGGGAGACAGGAAACTAGTATTTTTCTAGTTACTTTAGTGCTCTGTAACATTTGGAAGACCTATTATTAATATCCTAGGCATAATATTCAAATTGATTAAGGCTGACCGCTTCTTTTTTCTACAAAATTATCACTGAAGGCACGATAAATTCGGTGTTTATGGGCAAATTAGCAGTTGGTGTCTCCCATGCTTGACAGCGACAAAAACCCGTCAGCTCTGACCAAAGTGATCCCAGTTATTCAATATAGTTTGAATAAATAGAAGTTCACATGTTCTGAAATGAAATCAAAGAGGTAGATACTTCCATTCCTTTTTATGACCAACACAAGACTAAATACTTTTATTATAAATACAAATTGCACATTAATCTTCACAAATAAAAGAAACAAAAATACAAAAAAAAATAGAATGGTCTAAATATCATTAGGTTCAAGACACATTTCTTTTCATTTAGGAGCCACCTAGATTTGCAGTTGTCTGCAGAAGAGCAAAGCACAGTAAGTTTATTTATAGCATGGATACACAGCCCTAATTTAGAAGTGGTCTCTCACACTGATTTCCAATAAAAAGAAAAAAAAAAAAGCAAGCACAAGCTTTGTTTCAACCACTCATAATTGTGTGACCATTAAGAAAAAAAACATATTCAGACCAGCTGTAAAACAGCAGGAGGAAATACAGAAAGACTTATGGATGCTCTTTACCTTACAGAAGTTTGTATTAAACCAGTGATTATACAGCTGGACCCTGATGCTGCAAAGCTGTAGGGGATGTGCTCGGCAACTTCTAAGAGCAGTTCACGTGCTTGACTAGATCTAGGGCTAACCACTGCAAGTGTGGAGCCTTGGTGGACATGATTTACCCTGCTTTGGTTACAGCTCACAACATTTTGTTACATTGGCACAGGATCATGTGCTTGTGTATACATACAAGATTTATATTTGTAAATAGTTTAAAGGTACCTAATATGTGAAAAAGACTAACCTAGGTTTCTCCTCCTCAGTACACATACACACATACACCCACTTCAGTGAAAAGAACAAGAACACTTGCTTTTCACTAACACTTTTCTATAGGTGAAATATAAATCACTTAGTGGCTCAGGATCAGGATTAGACCACCAGTGTTTCCATGTTAAAAAAATTATGTCAGTTGTTTTACTTCATTTCCAATTCCAACGAGAACCTGTTATTCAGATTTAAAGAATCCCAGAACTCACAATTCAGCAACTGTATGTCGGAAGCAAAGCCTGTGCCAAGAAAAATGGATTTTTCTTAGGCCTGCTGTTTCATTTGCTCAAACCATCTCAAACACACAGACACACACACAAAAATAAAGACCAAAAAACAACAACTAGTTTACACGAAGATATACTTTTCAAAGAGACTTTCAGCTTTACTTAATTTGGATGGGAGAGGAAGAAGTGCGAGTCATTGCCCTTTCTTCCACACTTAAGCTTTCATCAATAATGGCTGTAATTCCCAATTACGCCCTTTAAAACAGAAATAGAGCTCCCCTTGAACACCACAGCCCTGCTATTTACAGAAAAGCATGTTGAAACCACAAGGTCAGGGCAGACAAAGAAATCCTTAACAATTTGACCTGATCAGATGTTTGTGTGCGTGTTAAGTACTCGTATACATATAGATACAGCAAAATGAAAGGACACACCCCTGGAAAACCACCATGCCCAACACTTCACACCCTATACGTCTGTTAAAGAATTATTTATAATGCAGGTGTGGGTGAGCAATTACATAAAATCATACACGCTGATATAAAAAAAAGAAAAAAATGCATCGGGCAGCGATGTGACCGGGACCCAGCTGCAGACTGACTACGAGGGCTTTGGCGGGGCCGGTGAGGAAACGTGGGTACACAGGGCAGCGGCTCCAAGAAAAAAAAGGGGGTTATTCTGCCGGGGAAGGAGAGCGGCGCTTGAAAGCCAACCAGCCCCGCTGAAAGTGGCATCCAGCACTCCAGCCCCGTGAACCCCACGGTGCCA